CACAATGAGAAACACAAGTTTAAGGCTTTCTATACTGCCAGACACAGTTTTTGGCTTTAGGAAGGAGTGCAGCTATCTGCATATCCACATAAGTAATTTGCCACCTTATTCTCATATCTTCATTTATTTAGTATCTATTCAGAATTTTCCAGAAACTTTGAATGCTGCCCTGATCTCTCCACTGATATCAGGACAAATGTATAAACAATGTAGTTTAATAGGTGAAAGCTTCAAAATGACTATTTGATTACCTTTCATACCACTATGACTTTTTTTACTATTTCTACGTTAAAAGTCTTACAATCAACAGAATTGCAGAGCTGTGCAATAGGAGAATAGGAAGATAGGAGAATATACTCCTCCATTTAAAAATCATCTCATCTTCCTTGAAAGCTAATATTAATGCAAATAATCAAACTTTGGGTAGGAATGCTCTGTATAGCCATCGTGTATTTGGCCTGTTCTCTGATACAGTTTTCACAACGAGATAGAACATTATCATTCCYAACAGAATCGAATCTCTTTTAGAAAAAAGCCCAAAGAGAAAGGCTTTCTTAAAAGAATAAACCATTCTTAGTACCAAATCAAATTCAAGCTTTGTTTCAGATTAAACAGGTCACTTTTTAAATTTTTTTTTTAAATTTGCTTTTCATGTTCAGTACTTCAAATTGAAGACTTTTAGAAATCAGCTTAAATTTGAGTAGGAAGATAACATCTTTTCTGATAATTTCTCAAACTTGATAAATATAGCTTTGTGAAAATCCATTAAACTGCTTTCAATAACTACTACAATAAGGTGCTAACTTAGGTAGTATGTTTACCTGAACTTTCAAAGGAGTCAGAGATATATTAGCTTATAAACTATGAGTATGCAAATGAAAAGTCACCAGTAATTTCCAGTTACAGTGTTACATGTGTGCAGAGCTCAGTTACCTGTTAATGAGAAGAGAGTGTGAGTACCCTTTTTTTTCCTGTTGATCTGCAGTCCTATTTCAGTGTGTGTGAGTAAGTAATGTCACCCTCAACTTTACATAGCCTGCTGTGAATATAAGGCCTGATACTATCTCTCTCTCTGTTAAGAATTTATACCTTCACTTTACTATCTGATATTACAGCCTCTGAGAAAGATGTTCCTTTAATCAGTAGAGAAAAAGGTCATGAGTTCAGTTCTATCGAGGATCATGATGCCTGTAGGGTAAAGAAGTTATTAAATACTTAACAAACTTGCTAGGATGTCCCTATTCCCACAGATTTCTAGCTCAGATGTTGATCTCAGGTGGAAAAAAAATGAGAGGAAGAAAGAGCAAGGGAGGTAGTGATGCACTGAATTATGCATTAAGTATTAATAGTGTGATTCAATATAGCATAATTAGAGCAAGAAAAAAAGGAAAAAAAAAACACATAACTAACCATTATATAGGTGACTGACAGAAAGTCAGTGAGAGATCAGTAAGTGAAAATGTAATTATTTTATATACAGACAAAATATCATTACTTAAAAAAATGGGAGCAGATGTGCAAAATCGCCAGTAGCTGAAATGGCTCTGCACAGCATTCAGTTTTTATCCTCACCAGGTTATCACACAGGCATTTCTTATCTTACTCTTCATGCCAATCTATGTGCATATACATGTGTCAGAAGCTACAGACACGATGTCTGGCTCATAAAWAAATGAATCCATCAATTTTCAAACTGAGGGTTTGTCATCTTCATGCCATGCAGTACCTTGCGGCATTGCCTCTAAGTTGGGAAGAAGATGAGGGCAGGAGCTGAGCAGACAGTACTGCAAGAGGCTGTTGTAGAGGCATCTTAGGAAATTATTGAAGGTACCTGGAATCAATATTGAACATATGCCTGAAAAATGAATATCAAAGTACTACACAAGCGTAATTYAATCTGGCATAGTTATGAATTAGAGATGCCTAGACTTTTGTTTATTTCTAGATTTTAAGGTCCTCAGCTGTGCTGCCAGTCAAGTTTCTTATTTTTGAGAGAGACTGCACAGGCCCAATGGTGTTACCAGAAATATATGCAGAATCCAAGGAGATCCACAATTTCTTGGGTTGCCTTTCTCTGCGAAGGTAACCATGAACATTTGCTTTTACAGATGGTCTTTGTAGATTATTATCTACTAAGTGTTAAAAGTATYCTGAAAGGTCACAATGAACACAGTGGAAAAAAAAAAGAAAAGCATTTATCAGGCTTTGGACCAAAACTAATTCTTCAGGATCTTTTAAGGTGTAAGTATGCAAAAAAATCCCATTTTTATTTTCAAAATGAAGTATTCATCCAGAAAATAAATGAACTCTTTGGCTCTCTTGGCTAACAGGGAGCTGTGGASCTGAGACAAAACAAAATAAAACAAGAACCCCCCACAAAAGCTCCACAGGATCAGGTTTCAGACCATCTTGTCTGGCAGCTAAAACGCAGCACCAACCCCCAGGAAAGATTCAGCATGCAGGAGCTCATCTTCAGCCTCTCTTTCCCAACTTTGACTTCCTGACTTCAGTGATTTGGGTGCAAATTCTTCATTAACTGGGCCGAGCTTCTAAAAGAGTGGGTAAAAAAATAACCTGCCATGGGCTTTAGGCACCCATAGATCAAACATGGAAGAGCAGCCCCTGCTGCCCTGGCAAAGCAGCAGCAGCGACACCAGTTGCTTCCCAGCACCTGAATCAAGAACTGGAAAGTACCTTTCAGATGGCTATAAATTAAACTAATGAAAACTTTCAGAGMTGGGACTGTTACCAGCATCACTAATCGGTGGAGGGTGAGCACAACACACAAGACAGCCACCTGGCCTGCGGCTGGAGAAGCGTAGACTTTGAAACCACAGAAGGAGCTCCGAGTATGTGGCAGGGGAACAGCCAGGACTGCTAGACTGCAGCTGGAAAAAGCAGCTGGCAGCCCTCATCAGGAAATGGCCAGTTAATGAAGCTGATAATTGGGCACAAATGCCTACCAATTCAGAAGTTAGCTGTTGATGGGGCTGAAGAGGCCAAATCACAGGCTGCAGGAACAGCCATCCAGCAGCAACCACTAAACTGCCACTGCCTCCACCACGTGGAACCACGTGGAAATTGGGGACTTCAGAAGATTGACAAGGGGCTCCTCCCACCTGCAGTGATTAAGAGAACCTGCAGAAACATGAAGTGTGGCCTCTTGGTGCTTCCTTACTTGGASTCAAAGAGATGTAGGGTGAAGTAACTGCTGCAGAGAGGTAGGCACTTATGCAATGATAGAGTGGTGCTGGGAAACTGGAGMTGCTGGAATATACATCTCTTGGATCAGAAAGGCAGAGTTCTGGTAGTTTAGGACATTTGGCACTTGTAAGTGTTGCCCTGCCCACGGGAGGATGGCTTTGGGAYTGACTGGTAAAGGTCTAGGTGGAGCAATAGCCTGGTTGTGCTGATCCTGCAAGTGAGATATCCTCGTGGAGGACCTGGGAAGATGAAAGTACCTGACTGTTGTAGCTGCTTGGATGGCTGAAGGGCCTTTATAGGTGGAATCAGTAGGTTTTTTGTTTGTTATTTTTTGTTTGTTTGTTTTTTTTTTGGGGGGGGGGGAGTGTGTGGGGAAAGGGGGAGTGGGGATACTTCTTGCAGTGCCAGAATTCAAGGGTATTCCTAATAGAGGAGGAAGCCCTATAGAAATCTAGGTTTTGAGTTAACTACTACAAATACAGGAGAAAGGTCAGAGCTCAGTTAGTGCAATTAAAAAGATACAGGAGGAGTAAGTTGCAGGTTAGTATAGCTATTTGTTGCACCATTTTACTCCCCAAATGGTGAAATGCTGAGACTGTATAAAATGAAGAGTMTTCACCTTCCATTTCCATTTTGGAGGAAACTATGATAATGGGAGTCATGAATTTATTGTTATCTCCTATGGAGGTGTAACCTCTGTTCATACTATCTTCATCTTTTGCTTGTATGCTAACATACAGTGAATATTCAAACTGGTCTGCTTAACTGTGTTTTGCAGATGAAAGGCTTGAAGCTTGTAGAAAAAAAATCCAGATTATGATTGTAAACCTGATAATCTTGTCAGCAGAGACAGTGGATGGAGACTTTGAATAACAGTATTCAAAGTGTTGTAACCATGGAAGGGAACACTGCTCAGGATGTGGCTGGGCATGCACTGCTGGAAGGAGGTGCTTCATACTTGCTTGGAGGAGACAGTGGCTTTTGGAAGGACTCGCAGGARCACTCACTGAGGGATTAGGATCCCTGCTCAGCAGGTATACTGCTGAAGAGACTGCAGCCTGTGGAGTAAGCCATGTTCCATCAGAGGAAACAAATAAGAAGAAACAGACAAAACCACTAGGCAGTTACCTCTACCTTTTATTTCCTGATACTACTTCACTAAAGGGTTTGATGGAGAGTGTAGCAAGTAGTAAAAAAAAAGTGGTATAGAGATGAGCAAAGGGTGAGGAGAGATGGTGGATTGAGGCTGAGCCCAGAAAAGGGGCAAAAGTGTTCAATTATTTGTCTTTGTTTATTAATACCTAAGTCAGTAGTAGTTTTGTTAATTAGTAAAGAATAAGTAAAATGACCTAAATYGAGATGTTAGTGTCAGTAAAACAGGCCACAATATTTCAGGCATCTCATTTTTTTTCTCCAATGGGCAAAAAAAAAAAAAAAATCAATGACAATTTGAAGATTATCTGTAATTTGTACTGTACCTAAATTGATTTTTCTCATGCTTGGACATATGCATAGTCTATTTCTTTTGTCTGAGTACTAGTTCTTCATGTAATTCCACTTGCTTGGAGTATTTCTGCTCACTGTCAGAAATACCCGACAGTGTATTAAGTTATCTTGATCATCAGACATAAGTAAATAAACGTGGGATATATAGATGTCCTTTAAAAAGATGTACTTCTTCTCCAAAGTTTAAGAAGATGAATGTTGAGAGAGAGAGATTACTAGGCCAGTAAAATCAATGAACTCTTTATTTAATTTAGCCTGCAGGATGACCACCAGCTGTTGTTGCATCAAATCAAAAGTAAAAACAGACACACACAGGAAAACAACAGAGTTGCTATGGGAACTGCTGTGAAGTATGTGATGGCAGAAGTTCTGTAAGTACAAAATATGGAGAACTGATGTGGAAAACTGTCCTTTGTAGTCTATAGTCAGGAACTGAATACATTGCTTAGATGCAAGTGAAGGGAATAACATTTGCGTTTTCAAAGCTGTTACGCTTTTAATGAATTTCTTCTCTCTCTTTTCCTGCTGTGCCCCCTACTTTTTTCACTTAATTTGTTCATTTCAGGTAGGTAAAATCAGATGAGTAAGAGTCTGTGAAATGGAGCTTCAYCTGAGATCATTAAAAGTTTGTGTTTTTTTTGTTCTCATAAACTGTCATTTTGTGGAATTGCAGTCAGTCAAAGTAAATGACTAATGCAGCTGAGSTAGACCTAGACCAGCGAAGTTGTGTTGCTGCTAATCAAATGAAACAAACAGTAACGYGGTAAGTCACATCTAACACTACATTTTTTAGATTACAAAACCGGTTAAAGATATATATTCACATCCTGACCACACTTTCATTTCTGTGGTTTTGCAAATGGAGATCTTTTATGTTTGAAAAAAATATTACTAATTCCATCTGTCCCTTTTATTAAGAGTTGTTTCAGTTTCTGTGTCTTAAGTATTTATAGCATTTGTGTTCTTTAGATAGCTATTGCATATATATAAAATTTCAAAAATTTTTATCAYATCATCTATCTGCTTTTCGCTCTTCCCTGGGAAGAATTTGTGAGGTATCTACAGAATGTAGGCAGAAGGGAACCCACTTTGGTTGAGGAAGATAAAACATGAATCTACAGRGAGCTGTTTGGGGAAATGTACTTACATACCTTGCAAACATTTGTTGCACCTGGGTGACTACCTGTTTGTTTTCTTGTGGTTAAGAAAATTCACACACTAAGGCTTGCTGCTGTTTAACTTAGAAGGACTGAAAAGAAAAACAATTTCTGTGTCATGATTAAAACTGCCCTTTAGAAAGTGAAYGTAAACACCAATCCTTTTTGTCACTCTTTCAGTTTATATTCTACACTTGAATGTAATTTTTGTGGTCACTTTTTAAACTGCTAATGTATTTTCTTGTAATAGAAAAATCTCCTTGGCATTTCCACTGCAAATGATTTGCCCTACAGGCAAATATCATCACTTTTATTTCCTGGATACAATTGTATGAATCCTTCAGTATTTTTCTGGTTGATGGTACTTCATAATATTCCATATGTGCCTCTCTTGTCACATATTCTCACAACAGAGGATAGAATTTTCACCATGCTATTTTTAAGGCTTCTTCTAGCCTAATTTAAGAAAACTAAAATCTAAACTCGAGAATAAACTGAATGTGGTTAGGAGAGAACATGAAACAAATCTATTGGGCATAATGTGACCATCATAACTGGCCTTGCTGCTGTAGAGAAGCTGCAGAAGGCTTATGAAAATATATTCCTTCTCTCAAGGCTAGTACATAGTGCTGGTAACAAGGAATGTGCCGTTCTACATGGTAGAAAGATAAATGCTAATCAGAGGCTAACAATGCTAACAGATTCTATTACAGTGGTAGATTAAATCAAATTTAATATTACAGGCTAAGGTAGGGAAATTCTCTTCAAGTTATTCATTTCTCAGCTTTCTATCAGATAAATTAAAAAGTTACTGTCCTAACCATTCTTTTCATGAGAAAGGCTAGATACTTCTGTTGGAGAAATTAAAGATACATGCAATATGCTGAACAACCTTAATTTTCTGATACCATTATACAAATCTTGCCCTTTGATAGGGTAACAGCAGCAAGGAAGCAGAGTTAGCCAGCCAGTTGGAAATGGAGTAGGACTGACTCTAAAGCTGATAGAGGAATTCACAGCAAACGTAAAGTCCCATACTGTTTTAATTGATGATAACCTGATGATATCTTACTGCTCTTCCTTGTCGCCTCACAAATGAAGGCTAAGCATGTATGCTTACTAACCAGCCTCTCATAAATGGTACTAATGAGCTGTTTAGTTGTGTTATAACTTTGGGAGAATTACCTGCATATTAGGAGAAATAAGGAACCAGATTTCATGGGTCAATTTATTGGCTTTCTATTTGCATTACAAACTTTTTTTTCTAGAATGCCACCTATATTACTGAACAAAAGCAAAAAGAACTGAGGTTCAGAGGATACTTGCACTACAAACTGAAATGTGAGCAAGTTTAGGACTATGCTTTACTAAGCCTAATAGAAACGATGATTTATGATTTGTCAGAAGGATTAATGCTGAAAGACYAAGTGAAACAGTTCATTGTAAAAGGCTAGAGGCATTAAAATCTGATGCTTTATGCCAGTGTCATGCTGTAACTCATTATGAATATCATTTAGTTCCTTCTTAAAGCTTTCATAGTCTGCTCAGGAAAATGAATCTAGGCTTAGTTACTGCTGGCTGTAGTTTTGTACAAGAAGAACTTTMAATTTGTTTACGTAACTCCCCTTTTTTGCCCCCTACCTCCACATTGGTACATAGGTATGCAAACACGTATAGCCAAAAAATACACGTATGCACAGGCATATTACACTGACAGTTGACTCTTGAATTTGAGTTACAATCCATCCATTTCCTCTCATCATCCAAAACCTGATTGTTGTAGAGCTCCTTAAAAGCCTATTATGAATGGTCTAGTGTTCTCCTTCCATGTTAAGCCTAGAGATGCATAGTTTTCAATTTCAGTGCCTTCTCTGGCATTAGTGATTAGTGATTACTCTGTGGTTTTACTATGCACTATTCTCTTCTTTCTAAGATTAGTAATCATTATCTTTCTATAGAGATAGATGAAATAATTTAGGTCCTATCTGGTCTCATCTTCTCTGACCCTCAGGAGTTTGAGTATCAGATTGATCAATAAAATACACTGATGTACCTCAATTTACTGTTTAGATATCCTGCTTGACTTATTGCTTCCAAGTATTCTTGAAACTTTGTTGTACTCTGATACTGAGATTCTTTTTATGAGCATCTCTAGCTTGTTTAGATCCTGTAATGATAGGACTATTCACAGTTGAAATTTTAGCAGCATTAACTTTATCAGTCATAAGCAGTTTCGTGAGAGATTATGCTTATTTATTATCATTTGTTTGAATTCCTCAGTCTTTTGTTAAACTTTCTCTGGACTTTACAAATCTATTTTACACTATGTTATTGCTTACAGATGCTGGTCTGTAACTATTCCTTTCTAGTAAATTAGTATGTCAAGCAGTTTTGGCYTGCACTTTGCACTTGAGGCTTTTTTGGCTTATTACTTTATTTAGATACTGACTTCTTAACTCTAGTGTTGCTGTATTACTGCTTTTAGATGTCCTTCTCTTTCTCTTTATTTCTTCCCTCTCTCCTCTGAAGTAATTAGTCTGCTCTGATRGCTTGAATAAGAGAAGTTCCATCCATGAAAAGTGGTTTAGAGATTAGTAAAGAAGTGATAAGCATGAATAAAAATGTCTGAAGACTTAATCCCCTACAGCTCAAGCTTTCCCATGGAATGGTTCCCAGCTTTTATCCGCAGTTGCTTTTCTTTGTGTCTGTGCAATAGTGCTTGGAAAAGGGTATGAGTGAAAGGCTCTATACAAGCATAAGGTGGTGTATACTTATGGTGGCAGCAGGTTGTGTGACTTGTCATTAACAGATCACACTGGTGCTATGTTATTGCATGGAACAGTACATGGAACATGTAAGACTAAATCACTACAAGGCTGTGAGCCTGAAACCATAAAGCAGAAAGAAAAAGCTTAAACTGAGCTTGGAAGTAAGTGTAGGAACAACTCAAGCAATTTTACATTTACTAGCAGAAGAGCAGTATCTCTTTGCAAAAAAAAAAGTTATTTAAAAAATATTCTGGAGATAAGAGATGACTTTTTTCAGGGCCTCAACGCCTTTCAAATGCCTTTTTTCACAAGGCTTTTTTTTTTCTTGCAATTATACTTTTATATTCAGAGATTTGTAAAATGCTTTCAGATGAGGCAAAAGACTTAAAGTCAAAATGTGATCTCTAGCATAGGAGYGTTTGGTCTCTGAAAACTGTTTCTGAAGAATCTTGGAATGTCAACATTATGCCCTTTYTATTTTAAAACAAAAATTAACCCTTCCTCTGAAGTTACTTGACGGCTGAACAGACTTTGTCTAGCTTGAATCTACAAATCCTCAGTCTGGTATTTTCATCTTTTGTTGGACCTCTAATTTGCATATTTTTTCTGTAGGTTAGAACTCTAAATCTAGTGATGGATAGAACTCTAAATCTTCCTCATCTGGGTGAATACTGATGGTGAGTTTTCAGTCTGGAAATGAACTTGTCATTCAGCAGATTTTGTTTTTTATGGTTTGTGTTGATTCTAGGCCAACAAGCAATACAAATGTGAAATAGAGCTGCAGACCTGCCTCTGTGAGAACCAAGAGGAATTCTGCTGTGTTTTCATTTGAGGAGTGTGTGTGTTTGTTTTTGTTTTGTTTTAAGTGTATTTGCCTGATGCAATTCTATTGTGTGCTGTAAGTACTGGAATATGCTTGTAGTAAGGATGAAGACCTGGAACTTCCCATTCTGATTTAGGTCAGATGTCATAAAGATATCCGAATATCAATTCCAGTTTGGTTGTTTTCCTGTTCTCCCACTTGTCCATCAGGCCTTGTTGATAAGCAGACATGGCAGATGACCTTGAAGTGTTTGTGTAACTGGAAACCAGGTGGAGAATGGGACTTGYATTAGAGGTGAAAGAGTCTAGTTCAACCTGAGGTTTTGAGTAGAYGCTATAAACTGATACCTGTAGCAGAAATAAAAGCTTCTACATCTATGTGCAGTAAATTGTGTGGAGAAGTCTTGCTAACACCTGAAAGGGCTCATCTAGCTGTAATATGTTTCCTGGAAACTCAGGAGTTTTATTTACTGCACAATAATCTTCACAAACACACCATATATCAGTGTCTGTTCTTGGTAGTAAGTTCATAGGGGAGACAGGAGAACCAGGCTGTGAAAGAGCTTSCAAGTATATAACTGACATGCTGAACGGATTTAAGGAACAAAGAGAGAACTGTGGAGAGAACTGACACATGGAAAGTATCAGTTTAGGCTTCACCAGCTGCCATCTATGAAAATAATCTTGAGCTACAGGTTGTAAAATCAATAAAGAAAAAATGAGCAAAAACAATAATTGTGAGGAGCAAAAGCTACTTGCTTTTGAGCAAAGAGTTAAAGGTCCTTTTCTGTCATTTGTGACACAAAATCTGTTCAGCAAAGCACACTTCTCACTAGCTAGGCTTTAAGCATTGAAAAATCAAGGTTACTTTTTAATGAAAGGAAATATGCTAGCGTAACCTGGAGCAATTGTATAATGAAGAATGCTGCCCATCTTTTGAGAAGAAAATCTTCTTGTCTTATCTTGTGAACATGCACCTGAAATATGATGTCAAAAATGTGCTACCTCTTTATTGTGAAGATACTAACAAAGTAAATGGAATGTATTACAAAAATAAACARAAGAAGATGAACTGTTTTAGTATAGATGCCTAAGTGTTGGTGTCAAGGACACCAGGAGGAGTGTTGGTGTCTTGCGTGTCTGCTGCACAAGCACAGCAATATATGTATTGGAGCACATGCCATCCCTTGGAAATGCTTCCCAACCTATTTGAGAATGTGGATGGTTCCAGTAATTTCAAGTACATAACTGTGTACTGCAAACTACTTTACATACTAGATCTCTCTGTTTCAAACCTTTCTACGCTATGCCCATTTTTAAAGGGTGACCATCCTGGACTGGTTAATGAGAACCTGTGACTATATGGAAATTAGCAGTACTGCTGGCTTACAAGTATCTACAGATACCTATATGCCTTTGTCCTTTATTCTGTAAACTTAGAGAAATGAAGGTATGTSAAGAAGTTTGCAGTTCTAGATAAAAAGGAATGATGATGCAGATTCATTTTTCATATTCTGGCCAAAATGACTATCAGTTAGAGATATTTATTTGTTTATACTGGATTGAGGTAGATGAATTGGACATAAAAGGCAGCCTAGTTCCTTTCCAAGAAGTCATTTGTTTTTAAAGTTTTCTAAATATGTGCTGATGTGCCCTGTTCCCTAGAAGTTATTGAGGTATAAAATATGGGATTTTATCTTTAGAAAAAATGAAGTTTTTTTGCTACTGGGTTCAGTAGMTAAATAATAAGATCATGTCTCGAGTGGAAAATCAAACCTAGAGCCTGAATCCCTTTTGCCTTTGAAGATAAACTTCTGATATTGCTCAAGATACCTAGGCATGTCCGTTCCATTTGGGGAAAGGCTTGGGGCTAATTCTGACTCAAAACAGAATTTGAAATTTCTGAAATTAATGTGYATTATAAAGATATTTGCTCACTGGTAAGTTTTTAACCAAGCTAGTCAAATTCAGAAAGTCTTGCAGGAAAATTAAAAAGCAAAAAAATAAACACAAACTTAAAAAGAGGACACTTTAAAAAATATTGCTGTAAAATGTTGTTTTTTGTCACATTTTTGTCACATTGGACAATTATGGATTATGGATAATTTCCAAGAAAAATAGTTAACTTAGTTTTGTAAGAAGACTAACCAATGAGACAATCTAAAAGCATTTCTGAAAATGTACTGCGTGTTCATTCTGAATGTAAACTACTAGTTTATAGACAGCGTAGCTTACAGGTTTGAGTGGAATTTAGCAAAAGTGTGTTTTCTTGGGTCTGTCATTGTATGCTGATTAGCTTTAGTYCAGTCAGTTCTCCTTTCTGTACTGCTGTTTCCCTGTTTTAAATACTGATAGTATTTATTCATAAGGAACATTTGGAGTAAATATGACCATTTAGAATTGCTTTGGCAAAAAGAATGAACATTTTAGGAAAGCCTTCAGTAAAAGAATCAATGTTTTAAAGTAGAGCAGAGCTATTTTCCTGTTGATTTCTAATGAGTACCTGAATTGTAATGTATATTTTACTAGGTATGAAAAGAGAGCAGTGTAATCGGAAACTTCTAATTGATTATTCTAAATACTTGCACACYGTGTAAACTTTTTAAAGATGCTGTCTAGAGAAGGTACTTTTTTCCTTCTCCCTTTAAATGGAAACAAGAACCAAGTGTTACTTAAACATAATTAAAAATGAATAAAAATGGGCCAGAAWTAATTTTATTCTTTGAAAACATTTGAGCTAAGGCCTTTTACATCACTTTATAGGAGGGAGTTAGGATCTTTAAAAGACTACTTTTTTTAGTATAGGATAATCGGAAAAGGTACCTCATTTTGAGATGGTAAAAACTGAGATCCCATTTTCACCTGCCTCATGTTTTATATTCTGGAATTCTTGCACACTTCTTGTGCTGTCCAGTTTACTGTAAAAGGAAAATAGGAATGATGTTTACACTTAATTAAAAAGCTCTATTGAAAGTCTAGATATCTTMATCTGCATTTCAATCCCCAAACTAATTTATGGACTGAAACATTAGGTTCAGTTGCATAGGAGTAAAATTATAGAACTTAGTGTCAATTGGAGCCTCTGTTATACAAAACTTGTTATTGAATTAAGCTGTTTAGCTGTTTTCTTTTCTTTATTTGAATGGCATTTCATTGTGCCACAATTGAGAATAGCATTGCATTTTAAGTTATTGAATGATTTTCTTGAATGAAAAATACGTCATCCTTACACTAAAGTTTCACCAGCTTGATTCTTACATGATACTGAATAGCAGTGGGAACTGTCATCTCTTGTTGCTGTAGAACCTAAAGGTTTTGCTCCAGAGGTTGAGGATCCCATTAAGAAGGTGGTATAGAGGGCAAGATATAGCTATCATATACTTGAGATGAACATGGTTGCAGTTCCMTCATGTAACTTGGAATGGTATTCTAGGCAGTATTAATGCTATGTCTATTCTCTTTTTGTTTACTTTCTACAAACAAGATAGACAAAAAGACTAAGGTGAGATCTTGGTGAAGAAATTGGAAAGTGAATAATAGCATTGCTGAAATGCAGATTCAGTGGCATTGTCAGTGTGCTGGAAACCTTGGAATGTGTCAAGTTTAGAGAGGGGAAAAAATTAGAGGAAGTACACATGGTAATTTCAAGACCAGATAAAACTTTAGAGGTCGCCATTTGTGTATGGAAAAACCCCCACACAACATCCTTAATCATAGGATAGCCATAACCATAGGATGTCCTTGTGATGCAAACGGGGAAAGGAATAAGTCTTTAACCTGTAATGACAGAGCTGAGTTGCAAAACTCTAGCTTTGTCTCTGGGAATACCCTCAATCAAAATATAAGTGATGATACTCCCCTCTAATATCAGAATCCACTTTTCTTTTTCTTTATTATTCTTTGTTATTCAGTAGTGAAGAAGTGAGGATGTTTTGTTTGTTTTCCCTACTTGTTTAGGATGGGAAATATCTGTAAGTAAGCTTAATGTAAAATTGTACTACCTTTGATAAAGTCTAAATTTTGGCCTTTGAGGCAATAATCTGTGAGGAAAAGGGGAGGCTGAACACAATCTGTTTACTGCATGCAGTTTTTTCTTGTTTGTAATTTCATAAATGTGTTGGATTTACAAGCAGGTAAGAGTTAAGATAAGGACTAAATAGTGCAAATGATTTGGTCAAGGAACTTGGTATCCAGTGTTAAACCCATTCAAGAGAAGTATAAAAAGTATAAGTAGAAGAAGTATAAAAAATTTTTTCACTCTGGTAAAGAAAATAAGTAGATGCAGAGTAAAAATGAAAATTCTTTTTTCTCTGTTATATTGAATACATTATTTACTAAAGTGATGATTACAGGGCATAGTATGACTGGACCATTAAATCATTTTTATAATTCTTAGATAATAAGAATTAATAATGCATATTATTTTAAGATGGATAAATCTAAGCCTATGCATAATTCTTACACAGCAAATTAGAGAAAGTTGGATTAGATTTCTGTGGTAATGTTTATTTTTTTCCCACTTTTATCTCAGAAATTTCCAAATTACAAAGGAAGTTGAGAAATTACAGATCTTAGAGGAAACACCACAATCCTTCTTGTACTCTTAAGTAGYTCTAGCAGTACTTTTTTTTGTCCATTTACTGACTCACCACTGTGAATAAGTGGGAATTTTTGATTGTCAGATATTTATTCTTTTGTATCTCTAGATAGTTATCTCAATGACTCTGAGGTACATATCTATGATGAACTAGAATCAACAATTCATTTCAGAGAGTGGACGTCAAAAAAAATCACATTTTAAACTGTTTCTTTTTTTTCAAAAAGACAAACTGAATTAAAGGCTAAGGTCTGAATGGATGGGTTTAGAATACAGCTACTCAAAAATATAAACAAAAAGAATACTCTTTTTCCTGATATTTTAAAAAAATGCATCTAGTGTGAATACATCCTTAGCTACATATTCTGGACAGTTTTTGACCAGTAGTTTATACGCTGAACTCCTAGTTTGCATTGAGACTAACTCTTTCTAGTTAACTGGGATGTCCAATTGAGTTAAATTAATAGATGGACTCATTGTTCCATTGACCTTAGTGATTTTACGGTGGCTTAGAGCCATTCAGATCCCCATTAGAGGTAATATTTTTGTATCTTAAAATATAATTTAGTCAAACTAAGTATTCTATCTGTGGTTATCCCATCAGTTGCCAATTTCTAAAACCAGTGATTGAAAACACCAGAAAGCAGCTGAATAAACATTAGTATCTCAAAGAAGTTTCAGAAGTATGTTTTTATAATTAGACAGTAGTCAATGCAATGTTTTGCACATAAGGAATGGTTCAATGTTAATAGTGGGGAAAATAACTCATCAATATATCTTGAAC